GAGAGAGAGAGAGAGAGAGAGAGAGAGAGAGAGAGAGAGAGAGAGAGAGAGAGAGAGAGAGAGAGAGAGAGAGATCAGTCTATCATTGCCTTCCAAGGGCGAAATTCAATGGTTTTGAAAATCGCCAAATCGCTCCCTCCAGGCATCAAACCTGCAACCTGCTGATTGAAAATCTGAACACTTACAACAAGACAAAGTGAGCTGGGACGAAACTGAGGCTCAGCCACCCCCCAGCATGGTTAGTGCATTAGATACCACGATGACCCGGTGTACCCAGAAGCATGCATCAACCAAGTGGCCCTCCTTGCGCACCCTAAGCTCAAGGGGGATTGCATGACGACCCACCCAGGTATAATTTCCCAGAAGGGAGCTCAAAGCATGGCGCATAGCTGCAGATGCGATGCATGCTGTCCAGACGAAGAGTGGTGACGTAATGGATGATCAATATGTGGACCAATGCCACGAAGAAAATCGGGCAAGTAATGGGTTCAAGACATTTTGGGAGATTACCTTCTCTTGTCGCAGATGTTGCTCTCGCCGGTTATGCTTGTCCTCTGCTTGCGCAACTGCCTTCATAAGGGATACTTGCAATCTCTCAATCTCCTACAAGTCGGACAAAGGAAAACGGAAAAAGGAAAAAGGAAAAGGAGAAAGAACGAGATAAACATGACGTTGGTCATCTTATTGGTAATATCAGCCTTGGGCACTGGGCCCTTTCATTTTCAAAAAAAAAAAAAAGAAAAAAAAAAGTCATTATGGACAAATGGTAAGTATTCCCGACTTCGGGTGAGGTGGCCTGTTTGAAGCATCAATCTTTTTTTTTTTTTTTTTTTTTTTTTTTTTTTAACTCAACGCTGCTCCATCTATTGGTGGGGAGCGACACCTGCTCCAGCGTCCCAATTGAAATGACATGACTCACTGGGATTGTTATCTGTTGTTTCTGTGGCTGCGGCCGTATCTGTTGACAATTTTTTTAGTGGGCAGGTTGTCAACTGCTCAACCCCCTGATGATTCAGTGAGAGTTTAACGAAACATCTTTTTATCTGTCTTTTTTTCCTGTGACATGTTTTAGGAGTTTGTGCCCAACGAACATAACAAGTGACATGCATGAGTCGAGGAGAACATCCATCCATCCATATTATGTACATGCATACGCCCCTCGTTTGTTGTCCTCGTCTCTCTCTCCGCCTACGGTTTACCGGGCATTTCTGTTTGTGACGATATATGCTACGACTTTGCTAGCTTCCTGCTACGTTTTTTTCCAGTCAGGTCGAGCGGCAGTGGTCGGGGCCGTTACCAGGCGGCCATGCTGTGCCTCTAGTGCCAGCGGCGTGTCTGGAGTGTATTTTTTGGCTGTGACAGACCTTTCTTTGTTTCGTGGATGTTTTGCTGGCTTGTGATGGGGTGTGAACCGACAGACTGCGACAGTCTGTAGAGGTAGATTATCATTTACAGTGTAATCAGTGAGGGGATTCTGCAGACTGTTGAGGGTTCAGCCTCCTGATGAGTCGGTGAAACTCCGACGAAAC